CGGGCGGCGGGGAGGGGCGTGGAGGGGCAGGCGGTCCGCGCCTGGAGGCCGGGCTGGCTGGGACCCGCGGGCAGGCGCGGCGCGCAGTGCGTGCGGCTGCGGAGCGCGCGGCTCGCCGGCCGCCGGCATCACATGAGCATCCGGCCCGTGGGTGCCCGGCAGCCGCAGTCCTGCAGCCCAGCGGCCGCGCGCCTCCGCACGACCCTAACCATGTCTGTCTGTTGTTGCTTCTTTTTCAGGGACTATGGCAGTTCCAAGAGGAAATCAGGTAAGGGAGCCTCCGGGCGTTCTTCCCTCCAACCTCCCCTCCCGCTTCGTGCACGCGCCGCTCCGACCTTGCGGAGGACTTTCTGGGGGCTTGTCCTCGCCCGCCTGCCCTGTGGTCCTGTTGGCCAGGGTACTCCCTGTGGTTGCCCCCTTCCTCAGTCCACGCCCCCTAAGACCTCTGACACTCTCGCCTCCTCCTCCCACCGCGCCCCTCGGGCTCTCCCGGTGGGGGTGGGAGCGGGTGCATGGGGAGTGTGAGGATGCCTGTCAAGGGCCTAAGCCCCCGCGACGTGTGCAGCCGGATCCTCCTCCTGGGTCTGCGGGGCCAACTCCTGGGCACCGCTGTGGTTTCTCCCTCGGTCCTCCCCGCGGTGCGGCAGCGATGGAAGGGTTAATAGAAACGAGAGGCTGGGTTTTCGCCGTGGGAAGGTGAGATCCAGGACCCGGGGGGGGGGGGGGGGAGGGAGGGGAATCGTGCTGCAGAGACTGGGTTTTTAACGGCTGCAGCGCAGACCTTCCCCTCCTTCCCCAACTCTGAGCGCATTCTCCACGCTGCCGGGGTGGAGGCTTTGCGTGGTGGCCCTCAGAGACACCCGATGGGAGGCCACCGACCCACCCTGGCATCGGCCCGGCAGGTGCCGGGCTCACTCCGAGTTTGCGAAGCGGGTGGAGACAGGGAGCGTCGGGGCAGGTCCTTGGACGCTGGACGCTGTGTGCCGGGCGCAGTCGGCTGGAGTCAGAGGAGGATTCTCTCTGGGTGGGGGAGGAGGGGCTAGGCAAATGCCAGCACGTGGGCGGGGTGCAGTTAATTGGGAGAGGTTGGCCCCTTGTACTTAGGGCTGTGTGTACTGGGAGTTGGGGCGGGGAAGGGAATGCAGCGATCTGTGTGGGCTTGTGTGTTGTCCGTATTTATGGGGGTGGTGAGTTATGGGGGTGCGCAACCATCTGGGGCTCTGGCCTTGGGGATGTGGGAAGTGTGTATGAACACGTGGCTTACATTAATGGCTCACGTTGTAGGGAGATACTTGTGTCCAGGTGCTTTGAACTGTGGATCAGAAGAGGTATGTGTGCCTGTGTGTGATGGATGGGCTGTGAATTGAGATAGTTGTGAGTGCATGGTGCGTTTCTGAGTGTGGGTCCGTATGTTTTGTGTGTATAAGTGCTTGCTTATATATTCACTGGGATGAGGAAAGATGTGTCCTGGCTTACATATGGGGGGAACATGTGTGTACAGGGGGTTGTGTGTGTTCATGTGGGGCTTCATAGTTGTGTGCTCTTGAGGGTATGTTTACTTGTTTGGGTGTGTGTGCCAGTGTGTTAGGGTGTATCCAGTTGTGGGTTGGTGTGTGTTTGTGTCTAGCTGTGGGATGAGACTGCTTGTGCACGCATGCCTGTCACCTGGGGAGGGGTGCTTCAGGTGTGCCCACCCCTGGTGCAGAACAGCATTTCCTCCATGAACAGGGGGGTAAGGAATTGCAGCATCTCCTCAGCTGTCACTTGCAGCCAGAGCCATAGGTGGGGGAACCTGGAAGGAGGGGCAAACATGGGATTGCGTTCTGTCACACCTCTCTCTCCAAGAAACTTGCCCTGGGCCTCAGAGGTGTAGTGGCTGGTTGAGCCTGGGCTCAGATTCTTTTTTTATAAATTTATTTTTGGCTGCGTTGGGTCCTCACAGCTGCACGCAGGCTTTCTCTAGTTGCATTGAGGGGGGCTGCTCTTCGTTGTGGTGCGCGGGCTTCTCATTACAGTGGCTTCTCTTGTTGCGGAGCACGGGCTCTAGGCACGCCGGCTTCAGTAGTTGTGGCGCAAAGTCTCAGTAGTTATGGCTCACGGGCTCTAGAGCACAGGCTCAGTAGTTGTGACACATGGGCTTAGTTGCCCCACAGCACGTGGGATCTTCCCGGACCAGGGCTCGAACCCGTGTCCCCTGCATTGGCAGGCAGATTCTTAACCACTGAACCACCAGGGAAGCCCTGGGCTCAGATTCTGGCTCTGTGTGACCTCAGGCAATTTTCATAACCTCTCTGCCTCGGTTTTCTCTTCCTAAAAAAGCACAGATAATGATGGTCTCTACCTCACACGTAGAAGGTTCAATAAGTTAATGTGGAAAAGTCCGTAGGACCCAATAACTGCTGTGGAAGTGTCAGCTTATTGTCATCAGCATTACTTTCTGACGCCCTGGGACCCTGGGCGAGTCCCTTCTCTACTCTAGGCCTCAGTTTCCAACTGTAAAGTCAAGGGCTGGGCCTCATAACCTCCCAGCTGCCCTGCCCTCAGTCTCTAAGGCTCAGGTTCTGTGCTGCTTCCTAAGCAAGACAGGGCCCCACCCAGGGAAAGCTTCCCTGGTTTCTCTGCCTTCCACTCTCCAGCCAGGAAAGGGATGGATGGAAAAATTTAATTTACGCTGGCGTGCTTATGATAATGGCCACTTAGTGTCATGGTTAAAAGTGCCAGCTCTGGAGCCAGACTGCAAGAGTTCAGAATCTGGCTTTTCAGACCTTGGGCAGACTTCCTACCCTCTCTGTACCTGTCCTCCCTTCTGTAAATTGGGGATAATATTCTTATCCATCTGGTAAGGTTAATTTTATATGTCGACTTGGCTGTGCCCAGATATTTTGTCACGCATTTTTCTGGATGTTTCTGTGAAGGCGTTTTTTTTTGAATGAGATTAACTTTTAAATCAGTGGACTTTGAGTAAAGCAGATTACCCTCCCTAATGTGGGTTGGCCTCATCCAAACAGTTGAAGACCTTAAGAGAAAGACTGACCTCCCCCAAGCAAGAAGGAATTCTGCCAGCACCTTTGGACTTGAACTGCAACTCTTCCTTGCGTTTCCAGCCTGTCAGTCTACGGCTGTGGGCTCACAGTCAGGCTGTGGGCTCACCAAGCACCCCCCAGTCACGTGAGCCAGTTCCTCACTCTCTCTCCCTCCCTCCCTCCCTCCCTCCCTCGTTCGCTCGCTCTCTCTTGCGCTCTGTCTCTCTCAATATTCTGTTCTGTTTCTCTGGAGAACCCTGATCAATACACACCTTATATGGTTATAATGAAATTACATAAACTTCTATATGTAGGTGTGCTTAGACCACTGCCTACAGTGAGAACTGGATGGTTCTCCCAAAGTGCTAGCTACTGTTATTATTTAGTGAGCATCTACTATGTGCTGGCAACTTTACATATATTTCTTTATTTGCTGCCCAGAGCCACGTTGCATGGTGGCTGGTGGGATTCGCATTTCACAAATGAGAAGCTGTGTCTCCGAGGGTGGCTGCCCGGAGTCTGTGGCAAAGTGAGGGTTTGAGTTCATAGTTTGGGCTTCACTCTGCTCTGTGATGAAGCGCATGAAGCTTCCCAAGGTCGCTCCAGTCAGGGATGTTTGCGTGGAGAACATGAATGCTTGTTCCCTGGTCATTTCTTGTCACATTTTAGTCCTCGAAGCCCCAGCTCATCCTTGGAGGATCTCCTGGAGGGATCTCCTATTGAGCACAGAGCCAAGACTACAAGGCAGACCTGGGGAGGGTGGAGTCAATGGGAAGAAAGTTCTCAGGAGGCTGACAGCCTCACAGAGGAGGCAGGACTGGCGACCTTGAGACCCCAAAGACAGTGTAGCCTCGAATTTATTTCTGCTCCTTCGCTCCACAGAACCTGCTCCTTCACGCATCTTCCTTCTCGCTCCATCCGCCCTGTTGCTCAAGCCCAGCATCGAGAGGTCATCCCTGACTTCTCCCTTCCCCTCACTTGCCCACCTGACCTCCAGATCCATCCCCTTCTCCCACCTCCACCGTCACACCTGTTGGACGCTCCCTTCGTCTCTCAGGAGGACCCCAGCTTCCTCCACAGCCTGTCTGCTCCCACCCCAGCCCCTCCACACCGCAGCTAGAGTGAGCTCTTCCACACATGGATCAAATAATGTGCTTTTCTGCCTAAATTCCAAGATTTCCCATCCCACCCAGAAAAACTCCTTATCCCGGGCTTGCAGAGCCGTGTGTGCTTTGGCCCCTGCCTGCCACCCTGCCCCAGGCTCTGCCCTCATCCCCGTCCCCCCTTCCCACCCCAGCCCTCTGCTCAGCTGCGCCCATTACCTTCCATTCCTTCAGGTTCGTTCTCTCCACACAGTCTTTGCATTTGCTGTTCCCTCTGCCTGAATACTGTTCCCCATTCTTCCACATGGCTAGCTCCTTAAGATTTCTGCTTGTCACCTCAGAGAAGCTGCCCCTACCTCCACTGTCTAGCTGCCCCTTTAGGTCTTCCTGCTTCTTGCACATCACTAACCGCACTCTATCTTGTGGGTTTTCTTGTTTGTTATCTGGGTCCCACCACCTTGAAGGCAGAGACCTCGCGGCAGGGCTCACACCAGTAGCAGGGTCCCCTGGCGCTTGTTGAATGGGAGGGTGGATGGAAGAAGGCATGGGTGCATGAATGACGCTGCAGGTCAGGAAAGAGAGGTCGCTGCAGCCTCAAGTCAGGAACATTACCCGGGAAAAGGAGGCGTTTTTCTGATTAGGGGTGGAGAGCGGCGGCTTTGCTAATCAAGAGACAGCACTTGCGCAAAGACGGGGGAGCAGGACCAAGTGCAGCTTGTTTGGAGACCAGATACTGCAGCTGACCTTATTGAGCACCAGCTGTATGCCGGTACCGTGTAAAGTGTTGAGGTTATAGGAATGTGCCTTTCTGCCCTCGAGGGGGTTTGCAGTCCGCTCTGGGTGATGAACTGTGCAGACAAGAATGTACTGTTGGACAGGGAAGCAAGGAAGTGGCATGGTTACCCGAGGAAGAGCAGTCCAGACCAAGGGCACAGCCAGTACAAGGGCCCAGGGGTGGGAGGTCTGTGGCTGGGTGGAACGTAGGGGAGGTCAAGGTGTTAGGAGGGGAGAGCAGCGATGTAGTGGGGATGGGGCAGCAGCAAAGACCGTATAGGGCCTTGCCAGCCATTTTAAGGGTTTTGGCTCTCACTGTGAGTGAGATGAAGAGCCCCTACGGGGTTCTGAGGAAAGGGGGACATAAT